GTGAGACCCTGTCTCTACTAAAAATAGAAAGAAATTAGCTGGACAACTAAAAATATATGAAAAAGTTAGCCAGGCATGGTAGTGCATGCCTGTAATCCCAGCTACTTAGGAGGCTGAGGCAGGAGGATTGCTTGGCCCAGGAGTTTGAGGTTGCTGTGGCTAGGCTGGCGCCACAGCACTCTAGCCTGGGCAACAGAGTGAGACTCTGTCTAAAAAAAAAAATTTCTGAATAAAGCACCATTCTTCGAGGTTAATATCGAGATTTGTAGTTTCCTTTGGGTTAAAATGAAAAGATGTATCCCATGGGTGACAGTAGGGACAGGGGCCCTCCCAGTAGTCATATTAAGCTAGTACTAAGAGAAAAAAGAAAAGGCTGTCTAGGTGGCTAGGCGACCTGCCGTGAGCCATGAACGAGCGCGGAAACAGGAGCCTTTGGAGAGTTTGTTTTGGAACTGTGAGCGAGTCAGGAGCTCGACCACAGGCCCTGAAGTCAGGAAAGCCTTGGGCAGAGGGGAGGTGCTATGAGGGTGTCAATTCCAAGGCCAGTGCCACGTGAGGGTGGCCTGCACACGGAGAGTGGGAGGTCAGGAGGTCAGGGCGAGGACAGGCCACGCGCGGAGGGCGGACTAGAGACTCCTTGGTTCGGGGCCAGGAAGATGAGTCTACATTTTGAACTTCTGTGCATCTCCCTGTGGGCGCATTTCTTGCCAGCACGACACATTGGATAACAGCCACCTGCTGCGTTTTAAGGGATACCCATACAACCGGGAGGCAGACCTGGGTGGGGCGCGTGAGCGTCTCGGCCGCGGCTTCCCTCTGCCGACGGTGGAACAGCGACTGTTCGCGTCGGTCGCCGCCAGCCGCGGGTTCGCTGCGCGCGCACGTTCGCCTAAGCGCTGGTGGCGCGGGTCCTGGGAACTCAGTCCGCGGAGCTGCAGCGGCCGGGCAGGCACTTTTGAGAGAAGGGGGGGGAGAAGAGCAGGGAGGGAGGCAGGGCGGATCTACTTCCTGAGTCGCCCGCACACCGCCGAGCCTGCGGCGGGTGTTGTCGGCCGCGCCGCGCCACGATGTCGGGCCTCTCAGCCAGGAGCCTGGCGGAGGGTGAGTCCTGCCGCCGTGGGGAGGAGGGCGACCCACAGCAGCGTGTCCGAGTGCGGCTGCTCCAGGAGCCGAGCCGCCCGGGAGGGCCCACGGGCGGAGACGGGCCGGGCTGCGGGGACGCGGGGCGGGAGGCTGGCGGTCCCGACCTCTCTCGAGCCCTGATCGCCTTCGGTTCTCCCCGCAGGAAGCGCGCCTCCGGGGCCGGTCCCGGAGGGCCTGATCCGCGGTCTACAGCATGAGGTTCTGCCCGTTTGCGAAAAGGACGCTTCTAGTCCTCCAAGGCCAAGGAATCCGGTGAGGACCTAAGCAGCGGGACGCCCGCGACCGGGCCGGGAGGCCTGCTACTGCGGGGTTTTGGGGTCGGAGTTTCAGATCGCTCCCAGAGCTTCCTTTACAGCAAGGGAAAGTATTCTCAGCCGTTTGCGGGACGTAGAAGTTATGGACCCTCTCCCCAGGAAAAAAGTGCGGCAGACTCCATCGGTCTAGATACTTATTTAAACAGCAATTTAATGGATCAGAAAAGCTGAGGCGTCGATAAAGTTAGTGATTTGCCAGAGTAATGACTAACAGCGGCTCTTTTAACTTATGTAGGTTCCAGATTCCTAGTCCAGTGTCTTTGCTTTCGCCCATCTGCGATTCTGTCTGATTCTTGTCCGCCTTATCCTATACTGTTTGCTGCTATTCTGAGTAGATGGTCCCTCCCCGAGTAGTTAATTTACCCAAGTACAGAGTTCAAACTTTGACCTTCTCGTGCTGAGTATACTGTACATATTCCTGCAGATTGGGTTGTTAGTTGAGTCATACAGGAAGTGTTTTGCCTAAATTCATTCTTTTGCAAAGCCTCAGTTTCTAAACCAGCATAGTTTTATGTCTTCTACTGAACACATACCACGCTTTGACAATCATGTGGACCTGGCTCCTTTCTTTTATTTCTTCTATAATTCTCAGGCAAAATACAAAATAGGCCTACTAACAATCTGGATGTTGCTTGGACTTCACCTGTTTTCTTCCTTTTTGGTTATTTGTATGATTTACCTATGCAAGATTTTTAAAAATTACCAGTATATGGAGATTGAAACCAAAAGTTTATTTTGTAGGTGGACTTTTAGGATTCCTTAATATCTTTGTAAAAAGCAAGGAACTTTTTATCAAATTAACAAAATGAATTGAATTTATCATGTTGGTTCTCATACAGGAGGTACTGACACATTCAGTTAGTTGCTTCATATAATTACAGTTAAGATACTTTTTAGCCAAATGTGGAATATCATATTGCAATTTAAAAGCATTTCCACGTATTTATTCGTTCATTCCACAAATACTTACCGAGTCCCTATCTGAAACTATTTTTATTTTTTCAGAGCATTTATATTTAAAATTTTGCTCATTTTGTGTCTGTTTATTTATATGATAAAGACACATAAGAATCCTAGCTTTCATGAAGATTACATTGTAGGAAGGTGACTTAAATGAATGTGTAAATATGTGAGCAAAGTAATTTCAGATACATATCATCAGATCAATGAAGAAAGTGAAACAAGCTGATCATGTAATAGAGAAAGGCTGTTCAGCAGTTTGGAGCTGTGGTCTGGGAGGGCCTCTCTGAGCATGTGTTTGACCTGGGAAGACCTGGGAGAAGATAGGCAGAGAAGAAAGAGGAACAGCAAGTGCAAAGATGCTAAGGTGCAAACACATTTAGCAAATTCAGGGAATATAAAAAAGGTCAAGGTGTAGAAGAAAACATGGGGGAAAGCTTCAATGACATTGGTCTTTCACAATAATTTCATGGATATGACGCCAAAGCACAGACAACAGAAGCAAAATAAACATGTGGGACTACACCAAATGAAAAGCTTATGCACAGCAAAGGAAATGATGAACAGAGTAAAAAGGCAACCTATGGAATGAGAGAAAATATTTGCAAACCATATATCTGGTAAGGTTAATCTCTAAAATATATAAGGAACTTCCACAACTCAATAACAAAAACTAATAACTTGATTTAAAAATGGGCTAAGCACTTGAAAAGACATTTCTCCAAAGAAGACATACAAATGGCCAAAAGGTATGTGAAAAAATGCTTATTGTCACTAATCATCAAGAAAATGCAAATCTAAACACAATGAGGTATCATCTCACACCTGTCAAGATGACTATAATTTTAAAAAAGACATGAAGTGGCGGGCGCGGTGGCTCACGCCTGTAATCCTAGCTCTCTGGGAGGCGAGGCGGGCGATCGTTTGAGTTCAGGAGTTCAAAACCATCCTGAGCAAGAGCGAGACCCGTCTCTACTATAAATAGAAAGAAATTAATTGGCCAACTAATATATATACAAAAAAATTAGCCGGGCATGGTGGCACATGCCTGTAGTCCCAGCTACTCGGGAGGCTGAGGCAGGAGGATCGCTTGAGCCCAGGAGTTTGAGGTTGCTGTGAGCTAGGCTGATGCCATGGCACTCACTCTAGCCTGGGCAACAGAGTGAGACTCTGTCTCAAAAAAAAAAAAAAAAAAAAAAAAGACATGAAGTGTTAGCAAGGATGTGTAAAAATTGGAATGCTCTCACACTGCTGGTGGAAATATGAAATAGCACAGCCACTGTGGAAAACAGTATGCAGGTCCTTTGAAAAATTAAAAATGGAACTACCATATGATTCAGCAATCCCACTTCTGGGTATATATCCAAAAAAATTGAAATTAGGTTCTCAAAGAGATATTAGCATGCCCATGTTCATTGCAACACTTTCCACAATAGCATTATGTCAATGTCCATCGACAGATGATAAAGAAAATGTGGTATATGGGATATTATTCCACCTTGAAAAAGTAAATTCTGCAATAAGTAACAGCATGAATGGACCTTAAGGTCCATTATGCTAAATGAAATAAGCCAAAAACTGCAGGATTCCTCTTATAGGAGGTATCTCAAACAAAGTCATAAAATCAAAGACCAGAACGGACGGAATCAAGGCAGACTCCTAACTTTGGGGTCTGATCAGCTAAGTGAAGTGGATAGCAGGGCCAGTGAGGAGTTATTCACAAGTACAAAAAATGTTTCCTTCTCGTTATAGTCTTTGTGTCTTTCAGGCATGAAGTCATCAATATCAATCTGAAAAATAAGCCTGAGTGGTTCTTTAAGAAGAATCCCTCTGGTGTAGTGCCAGTGCTGGAAAACAGTAAGGGTCAACTGATCTGCGAATCTGCCATCACTTGTGAGTACCTGGATGAAGCATATCCAGGGAAGAAGCTGTTGCCGGAGGACCCCTATGAGAAAGCTTGTCAAAAGATGGTCTTTGAGTTATTTTCTAAGGTATGTATTGACAAATCTTAGCTTTTTAAAGCTATGTCAGTTCTGTCATTTATAGTTCAGTGATTTGGGAGAGGAAAACAAAATAGGAATATGCTCGTGTCAGCTCTGTCATGTCCTGCAAGCGCTTTCACAATCCAGCTCCCATTTACCTCTCCAAAGTTATCCCTTTTCACTCTTCTCCTGATGCTTTTTATTCCAGCCATACTGAAATAAATTGCCAAATTCACGATGTTCAACTCTTGCTGGAAGAGTCTTCCCTCTTCTTAATTTGCCTGGTTATCTCCATGTCATCTTTCATGTGTCTGCTCAGACACTGCTGCTTCCAGAAGCTTGTTGGGGCTGGTTAGTGCTCTAGCTTCCGAGTTTCCCACATGTGCTAACTTTTGCCCACCTTCTTGCCTGTGTGTTAAACTGGGGTTGTGAGCTCCTTGAGGGTGAGGGCTGTGTTCTGTTCATTGCTTAGGTTTATGACTGCTCTGCCACTTTCTGTTGTGTGACTCTGAGCAAGTTACTTATACTTTGCCTCTCTGTTTTAGTTCATCATTTGTAAAATTGTTCCCACCTCATAAGATAAAAATCAGTTAATATAAAATACCTAGGCCGGGCGCTGTGGCTCACGCCTGTAATCCTAGCTCTTGGGAGGCCGAGGCGGGCGGATTGCTCAAGGTCAGGAGTTCAAAACCAGCCTGAGCAAGAGCGAGACCCCGTCTCTACTATAAATAGAAAGAAATTAATTGGCCAACTGATATATATATAAAAAATTAGCCGGGCATGGTGGCACATGCCTGTAGTCCCAGCTACTCGGGAGGCTGAGGCAGGAGGATCGCTTGAGCCCAGGAGTTTGAGGTTGCTGTGAGCTAGGCTGACGCCACGGCACTCACTCTAGCCTGGACAACAAAGTGAGACTCTGTCTCAAAAAAAATAAATAAATAAATAAATAAAATACCTAGAGCAGAGTCTGACACATGGTAACTACTCAGTGTCAGCTTCGTTTGTATAGCCAGTGGCTAGCAGTGAGCATCTGCTGTGTTGGCAATAACTCTCAGCTGACTGTATAAATAGCATTCCTATAGAAGAACTCTATCTTAGCATCAATATTGTGGATTAGTTCAGACAATTAGTATTAATAAAGAAATGACCAACAGATGTGTGTTTAGACACCAAGAATAGCAATGTCCAGTTATATCCCTATAATACTGTTACCTTGGTAGTGGGGTCAGCATATAAAGGAATATGTTGTTTTTAGAGAAAGAAATGGTTCAAGAATTACCTAGAAGATGGGAGAGAGTTAGAGGGACACCATACTGTTTTTGAGACATTGTAAAGGAAGCCAATGGGAAAGGAAGAGGGAATTAGTGGCTTAGTGAGATCAGGGTAAAAGAACAGTAGAGGTGGCTGGTGTCAAAGAAAAAGGACAGGGAATATGACCTTTATAAGAAAGATGTTAAAAGAAAGAATTTAAAAAACCCTAACAAGAGATTCATTGTACTGTCCAGAAAGGAAATGAGCTTTAAAAACCAGGTGTGGAGGCTCACGCATATAATCCTAGCACTTTGGGAGACCATCATGGGAGGATGAGGTCAAGAGTTTGAGACTAGCCTGAGCAACATAGCAAGACTCCGTCTCTACAAAAATTAGAAAAAAAATTGCCCAGGCGTGGTGGTACATGCCTGTAATCCCAGTTACTTGGAAGGCTGAGGCAGGAAGATTACTTGAGCTCAGGAGTTTGAGGTTGCAATAAGCTATGATAGCACCACTGCACTCATGCCCAGGCAAAAGAACGAGACCTTGTTTCCAAAAATGAAAAGAAAGAAAATGAGCTTTAAAAACAAAGCTGGAGATGCCTACCATTAATTCCCTGCTCACCTCTACGAAAGAGGAGGTGGCCTTATATACCACATGACCCCACCCTCCTGGCCACAGCTTATTAGACCAGAAATGCACCCTACCCCCACACCTTGGCCAGTCATCTTCTCTCCTGGGAACTTGAAATTGAGACATAGAGACTAAAACCATAAAGGTTAAGACTAAGACAGTAAAGACAATTTAGCTTTGGAGCTTATATATATCATAGATTTGAAAACCAAAGCCACGTAAAAAATAAATTTTTAGGAAAGTAGAAATCAAAAGCATTGCAAAGGGCACTGACATATGCAAAGTAATATAGAGCAGACACTTAAGGGAAAACAAATGAAAGATCAGGCAGGCACAGATGGAAATGTGGATGGGAGGGCTGCCTGCAAACCTTCAGTTTCCATGAAGGTAAGTTTTACAAACGTGGATGGGATTTCATGAGGGTATCCTGTATTTTTACAAGTGCAAGTGCCTGGTTTTTTGTTTGTTTTTAGTACAGAGTCTTGGTTTGTCACCTTCGATAGAGTGCAGTGCTGTCATTATAGCTCACTGCAACCTCAAAGTCCTAGGCTCAAGTGACCCTCCTGCCTCAGCCTCCCAAGAAGCTGGGACTACAGGCACATGCCATCATGGTTGGCTAATTTTTCTATTTTTTGTAGAGAGGGGTCTAGCTCCTCCTCAGGCTGGTCTTCAACTGCTGACCTCAAGCAGTCCTCCTGCCTCAGCCTCCCAAAGTGCTAGGATTACAGGCGAGAGAACGACCGCGCCTGGCCTACAAGTGCCTGTTTACTTAAACTGGGTTTAGTGGATTTTTGTCTCTTGTAATCACATGATACCAGAGAGCAAAGTATTAAAACACAAACACCACCACAAGTATCCAAGGTTCTGATCCTACAACTGGGAAGTCTTCAGGTAGTAAATCACTTTTGAACAGTCTTCTGGTGTCCTTCCCCCAAGGTAGAAATCAGAAAAATTCTCTTCCCTACCTCTCTTTGCAGCCGGGGCCAAGGCTTGTGACCTAGGGTCTTCCTGTTAGACACACACGGTAGGGTTCAGTTCATAAATGAGCAAGGTAAGGAAACAGGCTCGGTGTGGGTCACTGGTTCTGCTGGTGAGAGTGGTGGCAGAGCTCCTGGCTTTGAGCAGTGATGGTTACACAGTAAACTTCCAGAGCAGAGATGGCATCAGTGTCAATGGCACTGGTAGTTACCTCAAGAGTCCACTTTCTGGCAGCAGCATAGACGGTAGCATAGTGCTCAGCTAGCATTGGCCACCAGCCAGTTCTCAGCATGATTCTGGAATGTTCTATCTTACTTGCAAGCCTATTTGTTCAGCCTCCCAACAATTCTATGAGCTATTCCTTTTAAGAAATTTCTGGCTTAAACACACCAAAGTGAGTTCTATTATTTCCAATTTATAGAATCTTGACCAACACAGCATCTTAGGCCACAGAACTTTCTAAAATCAGCCCATAATCCCTGTGAACACAGGGAGTTGGTACACCCTTGACATTTCTAGAACACTGACAACAGGATTATGAGGTTTTATCATGTTTTTATGTGAGAGGGCCAATGTAGTTAGCCTCAAACTGATAAAGAAATTATTCTCTATCTAGGTGCCATCCTTGGTAACAAGCTTTATTAGAAGGCAAAATAAGGAAGATTGCGCTGATCTAAAAGAAGACTTGCAGAAAGAATTCAGCAAGCTAGAGGAGGTAATCACTTCTCCCAGCTATTATCAGCATGAATGATACACTGTATCTACCCTCCTTTCCTTTGACTCTTTTCTTCATACTCCCATTTCCCAAGTCATTTTAAGGCAGTTAGAAATAATACCAAATAAAAATTTTAGTTACAATAGATTGCTGTAAGCTATTCTGTTTAAGATATAAACCAAAATACTTAAAAATATTTTGTCATGGGCTTGCTTTTAAAATATTTTGTTGCACTGACATAATAAGGGAAGAGAAAATTGTATCAACATATCCACAGTTTTCCACCTGTTTCCATTTCTCCATGCTTGTTTGTAGTCCTTGCCCATATATATATTTTTTCCCAGATACGTCAGACAAATGGTAAATCTCTTCATGATTTCTCCATGTATTTTTAAAAAATAATTGAACATAACTATAATCAGAGCACAGATATCATCCCATATTCTGTTTTTCCACTTAGTATTATATAATAAACATTCTTAACACAAAAATTTTTGCTATGAATCATACAGACACTTGGGGAAGCCTAGATGTGTTTTACCTCCTTTTGGGGAGAGCTGCCACTTGGAACTTTAGATAGTCTTCCTCTTGGCATTGAGACATTCCATTCACACTCAGCCTGAAGTTTTTACTGACAGAAGACATAGTTCCTGTCTTTTATGGGAATGCATCTTAACATCTTATCAGTAAGTATGAAGTTCACTGTAGGTTTTTTCAGAAACCTTTTTTTCATTAAGACAATTCCCTTCTATTACTACTTTGCTAATTTTTAAAAAGTCATTTATGAGTATTGAATTTTATTGAATTTTTTTTCTGCATGTTATATCTACTGAAATGTTCATAGATTTTTTTTCCCCTTTAATCTGGTGAATATGGTGTTATTGACAGATTTTCCTGGTGTTGAACTATCCTAGCATTACTGAGATAAAACCTACTTGTTCTCAATGGATTTTCATATGTACTATAAAATTAGTTAATGGATTTTTGTATTCATAAATGAGATTGTCTCTGTTCTTAAGTACTGTTATTTGGTTTTGGTATCAAGGTATAAAAAAAGGTATCAAAAAAGGATATTCTAATGTTATAAAGGATATTCTAATGTTGGAATACATTAGAATTACAAGGATATTCTAATGTTATAAAATGTGTGACCTATTTTTCTAATCTCTGAAACCATTTGATATGGACTAGCTATTTCTGTAAAACACTTGAGCTTAGTGTTTTTTACAGGGTAAAGTTTTCATTACTAGTTCAATTTCTTTAATGGTTATTGATTTTGGGGGTTTTATATTTCTTCTTGAGCTAATTTTCATAATTTGAAATTTTCTGCTGGATAGGATGGGAGCTGGAAAGATGTAATCCATATTCTTCAGATGGTTACAGTCTGGTAGTAGACAGAAGTCAGGTAGATATAAACAGTCTACAATGCATGTTATATGGGTCCTGAGAAAAACTATGGAGTTTATAAAAGGCACATTGGTTTATTGTTTTAATTAACCAGATATTTTCAACTCTTCCTTCTTGCAAAACCCTAATACCAATTCACCTTCTTTTTTTTTTTTTGAGACAGTGTCTCACTTTGTTGCCTAGGCTAGAGTGCCGTGGCATCTGCCTAGCTCATAGCAAGCTCAAACTCCTGGGCTCAAGCAATCCTTCTGCCTCAGCCTCCCGAGTAGCTGGGACTACAGGCATGTGCCACCATGCCCAGCTAATTTTATCTATATATTTTTAGTTGGCCAGTTAATTTCTTTTCTATTTTTTAGTAGAGACGGTGTCCCGATCTTGCTCAGGCTGGTTTTGAACTCCTGACCTTGAGCCATCCTCCTGCCTCAGCCTACCAGAGAGCTAGGATTACAGGCATGAGCTACTGTGCCCCAATTCACCTTCTTAAATTTCAGAAACATACTATTTGTGCTTGGCTTTCGAATAATTGTCACTTGTTTAAGAATTAATCCAGTCTATTTCCAGTCTATTTTAAGTACAGATGCTCCTTACAATGAATGGGGCTATGTCCCAACAAACCCATCATAAGTTGAAAATATCATAAGTCGAAAATGCATTTAATATACCCACCAAGCATCAGTTTAGCTTAGCCTATCTTAAATGTGCTCACAACACTTACATTAGCCTACAATTGGGAAAAATCATTTAACACAAGACCTATTTTATAATAAAGTGTTGAAATAGCTCACGTAATTTATTGAATACCTGTATCCAAAAAATGCTGGCAACACAATATGCTGTAGAGTATTGGTTGTTTACCCACATGATCTTGTGGGTGACTGGGAGCTCTGGCTTGCTGCCACTGCCCACCATCATAAGAGAGTATTGTGCTGCATATCACTAGCCTGGAAAAAGATCAAAATTCAAAGTGTGGTTTCTACTGAATTCATATCACTTTTGCACCACTGTAAAGTCAAAAAATCGTAAGTCAAACCACTGTAAGTCAGGGACAGTCTGTACATTTTTTAATCAAAAAATTACATGCAGACAAGTACCCAAAGGATAAGAGTACAACTTAATGAATTTTCACAAGTGAACACAGCCATGAAACCAGCACCATATCAAGAAACAGAATAATAGTTTGGGCTGTTTTTGTACTTTATACAAGTAGAATCATAACATGCGCTTTTTCAGGTCTGGCTTCTTTCAGTCAATATTAGGTTTATGAGGTTCATCTATGCTGTATGTAGTTTCTTCCTAATCTTTGTATAGTGTTCCAAAGCACAGTATACCACAATTTATCCAATCTACTCCTGACAGAAAGTAAATGTTTCCTTGTTTGGGCTATTATAAATGGTGCTGCAGTGAACATACATATCTTGTGGTAAACATATGTTAAATTTCCAGGTAGAATTGATGGGTAATAGGGCATGCATACTGTTTAAACATGGTTGTACCAATTTATACTCCTACCAGCAGGAGTTCCACACCCTTGCTAACTTAGTCTTGTTCAGTTTAGCATTCCAGTGGATGAGTGGTACTGCACAGTGGTTTTAATTTGCATTTCTCTTATGACTAATGTGGTTGAACACCTTTTCAAATGATTATTAGCTATTTGGACATCCTCTTTTGTGAAGTTCAAGTCTTGCTCATTTTTTTAATGGGCTGTTTTCCTTTTTCTTATTGATTCCTAGGAGTTATTACTATATTCTGCACACCAGTCCAGTCCTTTGTATTACAAAGAGCTTGTATTCTGTGTCTTGTTTTATTTTTCCCCATTTTCCAGTTTATTTTGCTTCATCCTACACCAACAGATTCTAAAGCTAAGGTTTTTGATTAAACAGACAAAAACCCAACTTGGATATGTCAGGGTAAAAGCTGCTGCTTTCACCTGCTCTACTTAATTTGCCTTCATCATTTCTGATGATGAGTCTTACTAGATGTACAAATAAGTACTCTTATGTTGTTTAATGTTCAGGTTCTGACTAATAAGAAGACAACCTTCTTTGGTGGCAATTCTCTGTCTATGATTGATTACCTCATCTGGCCCTGGTTGGAACGGCTGGAAGTACTGGAGTTAAATGAGTAAGACATTTGAATATTTTGTGTATAATTTAAGATGATAGTTGGAATAGTATATATTGACCTTTTTTTTCCTGAACAAGTTAAAATATTTAATACAACTGGTCTGAGTGAGAACAAGCAGACAGGAGGAGATTCTTGGACTATCCAGGGCATGTCATATGCCTATACTCACTACTCTCCATCCTTAGGGGTGCAGGGCATTTTGGTGACATGAAATAAAATGCTTTACAATTTATTCATTCCTTCCTGGTTAAGAATCTGTAAGGATGAAAATTTTTATAATGATGTTGTTGCAGGATTATATGACCAATGCAACCTCCCATTTATCAGTAAGATTTCCACATTATTTTCCAAACTCCAGGTTTTGAGTTTGATAGCCACCTTGCCTTACTCCCACTTCTTACAGCTACTCAGGATTACTTTTAGTCAACAGTCTGACTGGAACAATTAACATATAACATTCTTGATTGTCTTTCATGTTCTCACTTAAAAAAGTTATCAGTGTCTCAGTTTGGACAAATTCTCACACTAACTGAGCAAGTCATCACTTCAATCTAGTCTCCAATTTCTCTTTTGTAAAAAAAGACCTCTACAATATCTTTCAAATGAATATTGTATGATTATGTACATTTTAAAGAAATATTTTTAAATAAATACTTTTAAGGAAATATTTTAAAAGGTTAGAGGAAAACAAAATTAAACTGCAGAATGATCACAATGATATAGGGGGAGACTGATGCTATCCCAGTTAACCTAGCTCACATCTTTCATTATTTCCTCCTCCCGCAGGTGTGTAGACCATGCTCCAAAACTTAAGCTCTGGATGGCAGCCATGAGGAAAGATCCTGCCGTATCAGCCCTCCTCATTGACGTGAAGGCCCATAAAGGTTTCATAGATCTCTACTTACAGAATAGCCCTGAGGCCTGTGACTATGGACTCTGAAGGGGGCAGAAGTCAGCAATAAAGTTATGACTGACATATTCCTTCACTAATATAAATAATAACAGGCTTTTATTTTACCAAGTGCTCTCACATCTCATTAGATTATCTTCGCTGACTGATCTGACATCATGACCTAACTATAGGATCTCCTCAAGGTCCCCCTAAAGAAATATAAATGCATTTCCTAGCTCAGGATGCTCAGATGACTCTGAGGGTTCTACCATAGTCTATGCTGAACCCCCTCCTGCCCCCCAATCATCATCTCTAGTGAGATCTGGACTTCAATCTAGCTTTCTAACCACTCATAGGAAATTTCCCCTTTGACACCCTGTTGTCATTTCAAGAGATGCCCTTTCAAGTTTCTTGTCTTCTGGTTTCTGAGTCCAGAAACTTTCAGTTGCTCATTCTTTCCTTTCCATCATCAACTTAATTTCACTCCCTCTCTTACTCCTATTTCTACCACTGAAGACCATACCCACATTACCTCAAAACTAGGTGATTGGGTGGCTTTCTGTTTGGTCTCCCAGTCTCCAGTCTCTAACCCCTTCAAATCCTTCCTACAAAATCCCACGGTGGGCACATGGCTGGTGTCCCGTATTATATAATTGCATACTGTGTAGGCCACATCAGTCAATTCAGTGTATAAGGCTGGATGAGTAATGGGTATTATCCCCATTGAAAAATATTAACGTCATCTTCCATACATTTACATAGCCCACTGGGTTTCTTACTATCACCACATCACCTCCATCAGAAGGTAGGATGGCGAGTATCATTTCATTCTACAGATGATGCACCTAAGGTCCCTATGCTACGCGAGGCCTTAAGATGCTGGCAGAAGGATCTCGAGGACACACCCTGCACACGACCCTTGCCATCAGAATTAGGGGGCTCCCGCCCCGCCCCAATAGTCTAGTTTCCTGTACTTACTTCCGAGTTTGCCAGTGAGGAAAACCTCTGAATGATTAGTTCTTAAACCTAGGAGTGCTTAATAATCACCGCTGCGTTTCCAAGTCAGCAAGTCTGGGTAGGCCCCGAAGTCTGTATTTGAGCCAGGGGCCTTGTGGTGATGCAGGCGACGCAGGGGCGGTACCCTGGGGGGCGGCCGACAACGGGTTGACTTCACAAACGGCAGCTGCCGCCCACCTTCGGCGGCCACCAACGCCCCGGCTCCCGGCGGACCGCCTCTGCCGCCGTCCGCCTGCCCACGCCATTCGGACCTGGTGGCTCCCAGCGTATTTCCAGTAGGCTGTGGAGCCGGGTGCTGGGGTTTAAGCCTACATTACCCGGCCTCCTCTTCCGCCAGCCACAAGCACCTGCGAGGACCCCCGACTCTGTATCCAGGAGCCTGCAACGCGGCCGCCCATTGGCTCAACTCCACGTGGCAGGCACTTCCAAAACCCTTGAGGATTGGCTGAAGCTCCGAGCGCCGCGGCCAGTTGGCGGGTAGGAGTGCGAACGAGGGGGCGGGCACCGCCTGAGCCACGCCTCTCCGCTGCGGCCGCTGCCCCTCCCTTTCGGGTGTAGTGTGTCTCGCTCCCTGAGGTTCTTTGTTCTCGTCTCTGTTTTCTGCTTCACTGGGTGGGTCGGGCTGGCCTGCGAAGTATTTGAAAGGAAGAGGGGTTTGAGGTCAATTCTGAAACTTGGGATTTTCACGAATTTCGGGGCCCACGATAGTATTGTCAACTTTAAAGTTTGCCTGATACTTTAAGACAAAGCCTAACTAACCTTTGCCAATATTCCATCAAGTTATTTCATATGGAAAAAAGCACAAGGGCTGTAATCTAAGAGTAAACCGAATACCTTTAACTTAAAATTGTTCTTGTTTTTCTGATTTGGCTGGAGACTGGCGAGGACCACCCCAGATCACCTGTTCTCAGCCCAGCCTGGGGCACCACTAATTTAGCTATACCATGTGATTAGGGCACTGGCAAGCAGGGGAATTTGGTTTCTGGGAATGTCCTGTCTTTGTGAAGACTATGAAAGTCTTCCCTGCTACATTCAAATAATAATAAAATAATAACAGCCAAAGTTGAATGCTTACTGGGTAACAGACACATGATAAGTATGCAATGTGTTTCATCCAGTGCCTGAATTAAACCTTCCCAAACCACGCGATGTATTGGTACTATTAGCTCCAAATTGCAGATACAAAACCAGGACATAGAAAGTTGTTATTTGCCCAACGTCACCCAGCTGAAGAGGAGATTCAAATTCAGCCTGAACTCTTATAGTCAGTCTGTAAGACCGTTCTTGAGATAAAAATTGACATAAGCTACTTCCCGGTCTCTTTTTATTCAACAACTCTAAACATTTAGAGGTTGAGCCAGAAGGGAATAGTATCTACCTTTTTGACCACACCACTATTATGCCTGGGATTTAACAGAAGGTGTCAGTGTTCTTTTTCCAAACTCAGTGTGTTTTGTTTGATTTTACAAATATTTTGCTGATTTCAGGATCTTGAAAATTTGCCTTGGCTTTTTCAAATGTTATATCCAGATGTTAAAATTTTTTTTTTATTGTTCAAGTTGTAAAGGGAAATATGAATAGGAAAGCAGAATCAAGTACTTAAAAAGAAAGTCTCCTTTGAACTTGCTTTCCCTAGTGGGAAGATGAAGTCCCTTGTCTGACAACTTTAGTAATCTTATTTAATATGTCTCAAAGACATCATCATTAGAACACGGGATTCTTTACGATCTTCACTTCCTGGAAACAAGTCCTGAATATAGTCACATTTGAGAATAGAGCCTTTTCCCCCACTTAAACCACTCTTTGAATTTGGTGAACAATAACAGAACAGCCAGTAATATAATCTTTCATGTAAATCAGGCTTCTGAAATATTAAAAGGAACATCCTCCCATTTCTGCCACTATGAGAGACTTGGCATGGCAAAAACATTTTGAAAAATTGCCAAATGCAAACCCTAGTTTCTCTTCTCAAAGCAGACTCATATAAATAAAGATATTATTTCTTAGATGGCATTCTTTTCCTAGAAGGCTTAAGTCATTAAACACCCATGACCAAAGATCCCCACATTTTTAAAACAGATCCGATTATATTTCAGTTGGCTGGAAACTGATTCAGAGTAGGTTTAATATGGTCTTATTACAATCTGTTTTGTGCTTGAGTGAGTTAGTATAATAGAGGTATAAACACGAAATAAAAACAGAAGGAAAGTTTGTAAAGAGGATTTCAAAGAGGTACCTACTGGGTCATAAAAAGGAAGTAGGGATAAGCTGAAAGGTCATAATTAAATCTTTCTAGGGAAACTAGTGTTTGTGGGTAAGATTAAAAACCAAATTATTTAAATGTAGCCTCCAGCATTCAACCCATTCAATTGGCATTAAACTGGTAAGTGGTGAAATAAATATTGTGAGTTGAATGTTGTTGGTTCTAACATGGTTGGCAAAGCTGAATTGTGGTATGTTTCATCTTTATGGATACAAAACTGGAATGTGTTCTTATTCACTAAATTGAAATTCACTAAATTGAAATTTAAAAATGTGTTCTTATTCACTAGCATTTTTCATTAATTTTGAAGTATACTGAGGTCTTACTATACTAATGATGCCCTGTATCATTTGATTCAATAAAACACGCCCACCAGGTAGGTACTATTAGTGTTCTCATTTTGCATGTGATAAAGGTGAAAGGAAAAAACATTAGATAGCTTGCCTAAATGCCAAAGCCAGGTCTCAAAATCAGCCCACCTGGCTCCAGGGCCTGTTCTGAGAATCTTGACACTATATTGCTTCCCTTCAGAGGAAGAAGAACAGTTTCCATCCCTCTGTCTTTTCTCCCCTAACTACACTAAATTGACTTGCATTTCAGAACTTGACTTCCCACATAAAGTATACTTTTATTAATAATAAACATTTTTCAACTGTCAGAGTCGGTTACCTCTAAAGGGTGGCAATGAGGAGAAAAAACTTGGAAATACGTCTTTTTTTGGCACAGTAGAAAGGTGGGTCCAAGAACCTTCAAATTTACAAATGGAATTCCCAGTTTGGCCATTGCTAATTGAGTCATTGTCATATAGACCATGGATTGGCACAATATGGCCATCTGGCTAAATCCAGCCAACAGCTGTTTTTGTACGGCCTGAGAGCTAAGCATGGTTTTTACATTTTTAAGTGGTTAAAAAAATGTCAAAGCACAAATTATAATTTGTGTCATGTGAAAATTATGTAAAATTCACCAAGAGTGAACCCTAATATAAACTATGGATTTCGGGTAACAATGTGTTAATGTAGTTTCATTGATTGTAATTAATGTGTCACTCTGGTTGGGATGTTGACAGTCGGGAGGCTGTGCATGTGTGGGGCACAAGGCATATGAGAAATCTCTGTATCTTCTGCTCAATTTTGCTGTGGACCCAAAATTGCTCTAAAAATAACGGTTATTAAAATACATATGAAATCAAATTCAGTGTCCATAATAGAGTTTTATTGGAATAAGGCCACACCTATTAGTTTGTATATATATAATCTATGGCTGTTTTTACACTATTAGGGCAGAGTTGAGTAGTTGAGACCAGATGGCCTGAAAAGCCTAAAATATTTACTATCTGGAAAGAAGTTTGCCAACCATTCAGTCCATTGCATTTAGTATAGACTAAGATACTGGTTTGAGAGTTTTGCCTCTGGAGTCAAACTTCCTGGGCTCCTAATCCTCCTTCTTCTACTTAGTAGTTATGAGGCTTTTGACGAGTGCTGAACCTTGCTCACCTCAGTTTACTTTTCTTTTAAAATGGGATAACAATAGAACACTTATAGGTCTAATTTAAAGATTAAATGGGTTAGTACATATAAGGCACCAAATACATATTAGCAATAATTTATTTATTTATTTATTTAATTTTTTTTTTTTTTTTGAGACAGAGTCTCGCTTTGTTGCCCAGGCTAGAGTGAGTGCCGTGACGTCAGCCTGGCTCACAGCAACCTCAAACTCCTGGGCTCAAGCAATCCTACTGCCTCAGCCTCCCAAGTAGCTGGGACTACAGGCCTGCACCACCATGCCCGGCTAATTTTTTCTATATATATATTAGTTGGCCAATTAATTTCTTTCTATTTATAGTAGAGACGGGGTCTTGCTCTTGCTCAGGCTGGTTTCGAACTCCTGACCTCGAGCAATCCGCCCGCCTCGGCCTCCCAGAGTGCTAGGATTTCAGGCGTGAGCCACCGCGCCCAGCCAGCAATAATTTATTTTGATTTTGAGATTTTGCATTCCTCTTGTGGGCTTCCTTTTTAGATTATAAATGTATTTTTCTAAACTCCTTTCTAAACTATTTTTCTAAACTGCTTTCTTTATGTGAAGGATACATTTGTCTGCCCAGAAATCATCTCCTTATTTACCAGGGCTCTAACATGACATGGTTACGTTTCTTGTTTCTATTTTACCACCTAACTTTGTCCTTTTTGATAAAAATTAGCTCCTGAGTAGTAGTTATTCTATCACTTTATCTTCCAAAATGAAAAGTTGTTAGCATAACAAGACAAGAACCAATTTGTCTTTTTCAACAACCAGATTTCTTGCTGACATATAGACATTTTCTGTTCAGAGAACATTTATTTAAACATTTTTGCCATCCCCCAATTCTTATAAAATGACAACACATGCCCTATTATTATCTAAGCTTATCTTACATGAAATCACTGAATGACTTAGCAAAAAATGTAGTTGAGTCACTATTCTAAACATGTTCAAAGATTCTTATTCAGTAGCAAAAAATGTTAGCACTGTTAACCAAGAAGTTCTGGATAGATTGGAACTCCAAAGGGCAAAAGGTGCCCATTCATAAGGTATACAATTTGGTTCTGGCATTTTAATTAAAGATACCTAGATTCAAATAACAGATATTGAGCAGCTATTATGTGCTATATTTTTTCTTGGATTTATGTTCTTTTCTCTCCACACTGTTACTAGCTTTAGAGGCCAAGGGATAGAGTCAGGCTTTGGACTTTTAAAGTTCTTCAACCCTACTAGCTGGTCACTTTGGGCAAATAATTTCATTTTTCTGAGGCTGTTTTCTATTTTGTAAAGTAGGACTAATACTAGCTGCCTGACTAATTTGTTGTGGGGACCAAATAAGATAATTTAGTCCCTGTAGGTGAGGCACATAAAATACTTTTCTTCCCTTCATTCCCTGGCAATCCCATAAAATGAATTTATAAGCAATTCCCACTTCAGCTCAATCCTGAAAATTAAAGGAATTATTTTTCCACCTGCTGAAATTCAGGATCTCAGCTTATCAGGTCAAAGCCAAGGCCAGC